ATCCAGTGAAAGAAATTTGGAAAGAGGAAAAAAAAGGGACATGAAGAATTCAGAAGATTAGAGTTTGGGAGAACACAGAGAGTGGATGCACCTGCGCCATTGCGAACGATTTTGGGCCATGTCATTCAGGGTCTCTAACCATCGGTTGCTGTCATCTCGCGGTCCCCAACCAGGTAGTCTACACCTACCAACATGACTCAGTTCACTTGTCAGTGACTTCATGGACTTGTGCCATGTTTTGGTTTGGCCGCCCCTAGCTTTCTTCCAACCTACTCCTATACCACTGAACATAGCACGTCGAGGCAGTCGGTCGTTGGGCATACGTAACACGTGTCCCAGCCACACGCTTCATTTGGGTTTACGAACTATCATTCCTGCTCCTGCAATTCAAACTATATACCAAATCCCCCAACGTCCTAACCTTATGTGAAATCGGACAACAGGCTTTATTAACTAGAACTCGTGAACCTTGTACCATTGACAAATGCTGCATCTCCAAAACAGGGTTTAAGTGGGGCCATTCATTCGACCTCATCTAGTCAATATAGAGAACCAGTGAGATTTTACGGGGAAGTTTCTGACCTCCGTCGGAAAGTGATTGTAGCAGGTGATGTTAATGTCTGAGTAGGTAGGTTAAATCAAAACGAGAGACACTTAATTGACTCTACGTGACAACTGTCCGCTCCGGCCATGATTAGACAACCGTCTTTTCCAGCAAGTATCAATTATAAGCACAAGGCGAAGCAACGTCTGACACGACCTGCTCAGTCAATGATGGACACAAGTAGACGATATCACCACTAAACACCATTGAAGAGATTGGACAAGTTTTCGTTTTTTCTGGTACACATGTTTGGTCTCTGTTCATGAGTACGCGCACATGTTTGCCTGTTATATTGTAATTAAAATAACCACAGCATTATGACCCCTTATGGTTCCTCGATGAAGAATCCAAGAGTATACTTCAGAAACAAGCATTTAGTCGACCACTAAAACAAGTCATAGCGACACAACACGGGATGATATCAAGAGAGACATAACACCAACCAGTGACTTGACCCTGAAGGGCAAGAAAGACCGACACATGTCACCAGCAACGGTAGATGGGTAGAAACTCATCCTGTGAAGCTTTGAACACGAAAAGGTAACCAAGAAACTGACAAAAAGTATGTGGAGCCACCTTAAGGAGTAATGGAAATGAAGCAGTCTTGTGCGCGACTGAACGGAACAGTAAGAATCCGGAAAGATAGGGACACTGTCGTTGCTCTTCGTCGTCTCTGCCTATTCTCCCACTGACTGCAGCTCAGATGTGTAAAAGATGAGTTTTACAGAAAGCTTTCGGACCTTCTCCGAAAAGCTAAGCGCTCGGATGTAGTAATAGTGGCCGGTGACTTTAATGCTCAAGTAGGTAAACTAAGCGATAAGGAAAGACACCTAGGTGGATCCTATGGTGTCGTGGCTCAAAGAACAGATAATGGCGACCGTCTGTTGCATCTATGCTCAGATAACCGCCTGTTCCTTGCAAATACTAACTTTAAGCATAAGGAAAAACATCTTTTAACATGGCGACCCCCTAATTCGTCCCAACGTTGGACCCAAATAGATCACATCGCTATCAGCCACCGATGGAGGGGCTCGATAGAAGACTGTCGCTCATTCTGGAGCACATGCCTAGATTCAGATCATGCTCTAGTGCGAGCGCGTATTTGCTTGCGTCTTACTGGACGTAGGAAAGATCCTGCAAGGAAACCTCTTAGGGCCCTACTTAATGATGGTCAAGCTAAGAATATATTTCAGGAACAACTAGGAAAACAGTTAGGCAGCCATGTATGTGATGCCCACCCCGAGGCAGCATGGAACGATATCCGAAAAGCTGTGGAAACAGCAGTGATATCTGCTAGTAAGGTAAACCGTAAAGTTAGGGAGCAACACTGGATCTCAGCAGCATCTATCGCACTGATAGATGCTCGAAAACTCATTCCACCTGGCTCTGAACATAATGAAGAGCGGAGTCAGCTTAAGCGCAAGCTGACAAGAAGTCTACGCAATGATCGCGAACAGTGGTGGGTAGCGAAAGCAAGAGAGATGGAAAAGGCAGCGGCAATAGGTAATAGCAGACAATTGTTCAGACTCGTTAAGGAAACCGGAATTAGGAACCCGACCGTTAGCGAAACAATCTCAGAGAAAGATGGACATATTATTCATTCTCAATCCAGGAGATTAGATCGATGGGCAGAACACTTTAGGGATCAGTTCAACTGGCCTTCAGCCACACTTCGGTTTCCCACGATCTCCAGTCAACCTGAATGGCAAGTTAATGTAAGTCCTCCGTCCCTTTACGAAGTTGAAAAAGCCATAGGAAATCTGAAGCGAGGGAGAGCAGCAGGCCCTGACAGGTTTACTCCTGAGATTTTTAAGGATGGTGGTCCAGTATTAGCAATGAGATTAACCGAGGTCTTAGGTAGAATGTGGGAACTGGACGTAATCCCATCTGACTGGTCTCAATCACTGATTGTGCCAGTTTTTAAGAAAGGACAAAAGTCCTCTTGTGACAATCACAGAGGAATCAGTTTGACTAATATAGTGTCTAAAATATTAGCCTCAATAATACTTCGAAGCCTAACTAAAGAGCAGACTAGAGAAAACCAGGCTGGTTTTTCGACCTGGACGTGATTGTATAGATCAGATATTCACACTACGTCAGGTTCTAGAACACAGACACACATTCAGACGCCCCACAATGGTAGTATTTCTCGACCTTAAGGCGGCATTCGACTCTATTGATCGTGAGGTTCTATGGCAGTGTTTGTCACTGAAAGGAGTACCAAAGAAGTACATTAACCTTATAAAGGCTCTCTACTCGAACACAACTGGTAGAGTGAGAGCTTATGGCGAACTGTCATCAGAATTGATCACCTCAAGTGGTGTTCGTCAGGGCTGTCCACTCTCCCCATTCTTGTTCAACTTTGTCATTGACGTACTTTTAGAGATAACACTCTCCTCATCTAAATTTACAGGGGTTGAACTTCTACCAGGAGGTTCACTTGTTGACTTAGAATATGCTGATGACATAGTTTTATTTGGTGAAGACGCTGACAAAATGCAGAGTCTTCTGACCACTCTAAGCAACAAAGCAAGCATGTTCGGGATGCGATTCTCTCCCTCGAAATGCAAAATGTTGCTTCAGGATTGGGTTACATCGACACCCGAACTAGTGATAGGGAGTGAAGTAGTTGAGTGTGTCGACCGCTTCACTTATCTTGGAAGTCTCATCAGCCCTTGTGGTTTAGTGTGTGACGAAATCTCAGCACGGATACAGAAGGCTCGACTAGCTTTTGCCAACTTGCGTCATTTATGGCGTAGGCGAGATATCCGTCTATCAACCAAAGGACGTGTTTACTGCGCAGCAGTTCGTTCCGTCCTACTTTATGGCAGTGAAACATGGCCGGTAAGAGTAGAGGATATCCGTAGGTTACTAGTATTTGATCATAGGTGTCTTCGAAACATTGCTCGTATATCATGGGACCATCGAGTAAGTAACACAGTTGTTAGGAAACGGGTACTAGGTAAGGATGGCAAATCAATTGATGACGTAGTGAAACTTCATCAGTTGAGATGACTGGGACACGTGTTACGTATGCCCAACGACCGACTGCCTCGACGTGCTATGTTCAGTGGTATAGGAGTAGGTTGGAAGAAAGCTAGGGGCGGCCAAACCAAAACATGGCACAAGTCCATGAAGTCACTGACAAGTGAACTGAGTCATGTTGGTAGGTGTAGACTACCTGGTTGGGGACCGCGAGATGACAGCAACCGATGGTTAGAGACCCTGAATGACATGGCCCAAAATCGTTCGCAATGGCGCAGGTGCATCCACTCTCTGTGTTCTCCCAAACTCTAATCTTCTGAATTCTTCATGTCCCTTTTTTCCTCTTTCCAAATTTCTTTCACTGGATTATACTCTTTAAATAACATCTCCAAACCCTAATCTTCCCGATTACTGCTTATACTCTTGCTACCTGTACCACTACGGGATTTGAATCGACCACTGCATCTCTGTGCTAATGTAGTGTGGCAACTCGAACTGATGTACGTACGTACGAAGTTCTACGTTGTTACTGACTGACTGACTGAGATAGAAAAACTAGCGACTACAATCGACATATCTGTTTATACTTTTCGGAGAAAAAAGTACTTGGAAAAAGACGATGACAAGGGTTTGGAGCGATGGGCAGAACACGTCAAGGAACAGCTCGACAGAAATCCGAGTACCTTCGATTCCCACATAACTTGAGTGATTGACACATCTGACGCTTAAATTAGGCCCAGTGGAAGAAAACCCAATCATTATGAACAACCCGAGTAACAATGTTAAGGATAGTAATAAATATATTTTTATATCCCAAGTAGAAAAATTGTATCTGACGTTTCGGGACCTAATATAAGCCACTTCTTCGGAGTAAATAAAATGTTGATGGTGTTTTCTGCCTTCTGAACGTAAACTTGTACCTTAAGGTCGATACGCGCCAACCGTCAGACTAATGACAAGTAGTGACGTAGTCGATCGCACCGACCTCAGAAACCATGTTGGGACGGTATCTAAGAGATTCTATGCACTAATTTGAAAAATCTACTTATGGATTAAGATATCTATTAACTGAACAGAGAATGAACTGCAAAATAAACCTCCGTATTACTGTATGATTGTGGCATTTCATAATAGTAATTTAAAGTTGAATGCTTTGATCGTAGGTGTTACGTTGTATCATCTTCAATACTATTATCTCGGTTCTTCTTATACCTTGCTGATTTCATCTTGACGTTGCAATGCGATATAGTAACTCGGGCTGACCCATATTTATGCTGGACTTTCAAGTATAACTGAGGCTCTAGAAAATGTTGCTAGTAATATTTGACAAGTTAATATGAATGGTTTTCAAGTAGTGTAAAAGGAGCCTAAGCGGTATTGATAAGTTGAAAGAAAAAAAAGATCTTGAAAATTACCAAGCGCAACTTATTTATTTAAATCATAGCTTTAAGTAATCGATTTATGTAGGTTTCTCGGTTGCCAAAATCACCACCTTCGACAAAGTGCTTTCCTTTCTTGCGAAAACCACCACTAGGATTGTTCAACTTGAATGTCCATAGAAAAGCAACAGCATGTTTGAAGTTTGGTCCAACTGTATATATTTCATGTACAAGGTCCTCAACGCATATTAAACCAAGATGTCCAAGTTTGTGTTCAATTAACTCATTTGTTAAAGGGAGCCGTGTACCATGGTACTTACAAAATCCGCGTTTATAAATGAGTTGACGAATAATTTTAAGACTAGGGTAACCCCAAGCGACGTATGGATCAATTATTCGAAGCATGTTAAGAGTTGCCTGTACGATAATGATAAACAAAAAGCAGGAACTACCTTATTTAATCGCACAAACATCCCATTGTTGATTTGCCGAAGGCGAAAGAGCTGCATGGTCTTTCTTGGGCGTGGGTGGACACCGTTAATACCCCGGATTCGCACGACAAATGCAAGTTTTGGTTCAGCTGGGACATAAAAGTCTCCCGTTTTTTTAGCATTACGCTGCAACGTGATTTCACGCTTTGCCATTCTGCGGTACTCCTGAAACAGTAATTATGTTACACAGAACTTACATGCATGTATTTTTCCGCTCGTTGCTTCATGAGACGTTTTAACCGCATAAAAGTTTGTCGACGTACTACCTTTTTGCGAGCCACTGTAATCAATTTCCGTCGTCTAATCTTTTCCTTCAAGCGGAGACCTTCTGGCTTCTTAGGTCTCTTGGGAGTAGCTGACTGGGCATCAGTTTTCTTTCTAAATACGAACAAGAAATGTGGAGTTAGTGTAAGTAGCAAATCTATTTACAGAGCCAACGATTATTACTTTTGCAGAAATCAAAATATCACAAGTAGTGACGATTAATTCCGTTTTCAACTGAAAATGTACTGATCACACACCGTCTTATAATGCCTTCAATACAGAAGTAAAACAAGCTATACATCACTGAATGACACCACGGTAATAAAACAATGAACTAACCACAAGAAAGGTCACAACTGTCCACGGTGATGGCAATAAACCGGATGAGTCAGAATGCAATAATTTTAAAAAAAAGTCGATAGTTATTGTCTGTCGAATCGGATATAACTACTTAAACTACCAAGACTATTACAATTTAAAACACAGAAGACAAGGGTGTTTTGGAAAGACTTTAGATTTAGGTAAATAGCAGTGGACGAACAACTGACTTCAGAGCTTATAAGGTTGAAGAGGCAAATGACGTTAACGAGAATTACGGTACAACTAATTGACTAATAGGGAAACTCAAGTGGTGTTTTAAGTGTCAGGCAACAATACGGCTTGTTTGACTGAAACATAGAAGTCAGATTGATCACCGTTGTCATTACATAAGCCTGAGCAAGCCTCTCCGAACTCAATTTTATGTCCTCTTATTTAACGAAGAAATATTATTTGGAATGATTTCAATCACTAACTATTATTTAGGCTTGTTACTGATCACCCCGTACTTACAAACGACCTAGAAAATATTAGTAGGATCACACTGGGGAATAATTTTGTAGACAATCTTTATGTGGACCCAACGTTTCGCCTGGCAATTTGGTTCAACCTCTTCCAATGAAATGGCCTTCAAATTCAACCAGAGACAAATATAATTTTCTCCCTGAAAGTGTTACAGTAATTTGACACCTAACTACTCTGAAACTATTCGTGTTAATTTGGACGACAGCTTTCATGAATGGTAGCCATTACGTAACAGGACACAAGTGCAATCTAACGCAGCTACCCAAACACTTACCGTCTAATCCCAAGACTACGGGAAGGGATTGTAGGGGATGATTCGAATTCCTATGGTTAAATAAAAAGTATAACCCTATAAAACTTTGAAAATCCGATAGTAGTTAGGTATCTTAACTATTTTCCTGGGGTAATTCGAAACGCTTAATTAGAAACTGTTATAGGATTTATGTAACAGAATGTTACTTTGCAAGTTTTACTGTGGTGATTACCCACGAAGAACAGATACAAACATCAACTACATTAAACCAGTGTGATGCTACATAGACTTACATGTCTGACATAATGCGCTCACGTTGTTACCTAACAGACGATAAACTGTCACGCTGAAGATTCAAAGACACAAACAGGCGCCAGCAGTTTCAACACTCAATCTTCGTTAAGTGGAATCAGTAAACAGAGTATTTCCTGAAATCCACATCTAAGATATCTTAACCCAATTTTAGCTACAAACAAAATAGGTACCTTCCAATAATAGTGAATAAACTGATTGGTACCTGCTCTTTAAACAGATATTTCAAATGTTTCAAATGATTTTGAACGGAATAGGATAAGCTTTCGCTTAACGAGCTTCCGTGTCTAGTAGCAATGGATCACCAATACCTCCAAACAGGAACCTAAGTACATTGTCGATAAGAGAGGAAAAAGAAATTGGTAAATCATAGTAACATACTATCCTTAGTCCTTAAGAATATGTCAAGTTTTCTCTTAAAGAACTCCCATGAAGTCGCTTTAACAGAAAATCCCGGCATTTGGCTACTTTTAATTAATAGAAGTTGTGTCGACGGTCCGTCCTCTTGTGTTGCATCTCCAGTCTTTGAGTGTTACCCCTAAGTTTTGTGTCGGAACTAAATATAAGTAAGTGTTCAAAAGGATATCCATGAGTATTTAAGATGCTGGAAGCTATTAGAAGGTCGGTTCTAAGACGCCTATACTCTAATGGGTAAAGGTTTGGTGATTGGAGGCGCTCTTCATAAGGCTTGAGTTTGAGTCCAAAGACTGATTTCGTGGCTCGTCCTTGAATACGTTCCAGAGCGTCCTTACCCTTGAGCAGTGAGGGAGGAAATACCATGTTTCCGTACTCTAAATGGGGATGAATAAAGCTGTTGAAGATTATGTGGAGCGTTCTTCCGTCAAACTGGCCAGAAATGCGCTCCAATTTTACCAGTGTAAGGTTTGCTCGAATGGCATTTCTGTCGCATTTGGCGTAAGACCTCAAATCGCAGGGTACCAACACTTCTATACTCTTTCATTTTGAGATACCTCTGGGGGGCAGTTGCCCAAGTTGTATCAGTAGTCTGCAAAATGTCTCAGATGGACTACTTAAAACTATGGAGTGTAATAGGTAAGTCCATTTTTCTCTGCCCAACTTTGAAGTGGAATCAGATCCTCCTGAATTGAAAGTTTATACTCTTGATTCCATATCTCTCTCCAAAGTTTCATGTCATCAGCAAAAAGCAATAGGTCTGATGATAGAGATTATGAATACAGTGAACTTGAATGCTGTCAGAGGTATGAAGGTAGTTATCACATCCCGGTTGCCCACACCGTGAAAGGATTCTTCTGAAGGTGCCTGAAAAGGAAATTCGGTTAGGGGTACTCTTAGTGACCTGAGAGTATGTCCGCAGTGCTCAAGGTACGACTGTCTGAGGTCGGTCACACACGACCTTTTTCTGAGTTATCTTCGTGTTAGCTCCGTAATTATTGGAACCTTACCACCGGAGACGAATATCCTTAGGATAAGGCGAGATGTGCATTTTTGGGGTCGACCTTTACTCCTATGTAGTAAAGCTTTTCAATGCTTGTTGTTGACAAATTCAATATATTGCTTCAATGACCCATTTGTTCTATAATTTCAGTCATCTGATTTGATGCTCCCTCTATCCACGGGTTTAAATAATAGCTGTGTTCCTACCTTCACAGAGACTGATGTCTCCAGTCGCTTAATTCATCTCGATGTTTGGGACCTGATGGTATCCCAAACGTCCTTTTTATAAAGTGTGGTGACGTCCTATGTTATCCGTTCACAGCTATCTTTAACAGATCCTTCTCATCTAATCTCATACCGAAAATGTGGAGAAAGATGAAGATAATTCCTGTACCCAAGAAAGTATCTGGTGATAAGAATGTAAAATTTAGACCTATTGCAATAACTTCACCCTTCCTCAAAACAATGGAAAAACTATTAATACTTCCACTTCAGCCTGCGATAGAAAATCATATTGATCCATATCAGTTTGCTTACAGACGCGAAAGAAGCACTTTAGATGCTGTTGCTGTTCTGCATCACAACATAGTGTTCAACTTAGAAAAGGGTAAGAAGTATGTTCGATGTGCTTTTCTGGACTATACTTCAGCTGTTGATTCTATACCAAGACAACGTTTGCTTAACAAGTTAATCAGCGTCAACACTGACAGCTGGATAACCAACTGGCCATGTTCTTACCTCTCTGGAAGGGAACAGTACACTGTGTTTGGAGGAAAGTGTTCAGAGTCTCTACTGTCTCATGAAGGTGTACCACAAGGAGCTGTTCTTTTACCTCTTCTATTCTCTTTTTTTCTGCATGATCTGCCATCTTCCACAGAAAACACTTTTGTGAAGTATGCGGATGACCTCACTGTATGTATGCCTATATCTTCCTCTTTACATCCCATAGAAATGAATGAGTTTTTGTCTCGTATTGATTGTTGGTCTGTTGGTAATGGTCTCATACTTAATCCGTCTAAATGTCAAGCTGTTAACTTTAGCATGAGACATCAACGGAATATAAACACTATTTTGAGATCCCATAGTGCTTGTACCATCGGAGACTCTTTGATAAACTCAGTGTCGAAGGTCAATTATCTTGGTGTCACCTTTTCCTCTGATCTGTCTTGGTCTTCCCACGTTTTATCGTTATCGAAGAAGGTTTTCCGTCTGACCTATTACATAAAGAGATTGCATGCTCTTGGAATTACTCGTCATTTACTCTTACAATTTGTCAATTCTTGCATACTACCTATTATTCTTTACTGTTCCCCATATTCTTTCCCGGGTTTTTGAGAAAAGACTTTGCTGTATTGCGGAGAGTGCTGAAGGCAGTTAGCAAGATGTGTGGTGAATCTTTCGAAGTCATAACTAATATGGTTGTGGATAGACATTTAAAATCATGCAAACTCCTGGCAGGTGTTATTTTATCAGATACTAGCCATCCCCTTCACTCTTATCTTTCTCCTTGTATATCTTCTGGTAGAACGAGACGTAATTACATTAAAATCCATGCACGTAAGCAAAAGTACAAATGTTCTATAATACCTTACCTAGCAAACATACTCTGTGACGAACAGGTTGTTAGAGTTAACCTAGTCAATAACTTGCATTCTTAACATGTCCTTAAATTTAAAAGTTGTACAGTTTTTCGATTTTTTCTTTTGTTTTTAAAAACCCTTTCCATTTTTTTGTATTCGTTACCGTGTTTTTGTTGTTGTTGCGTAAGTAACTTGTTGAAACAACCTGTGCTGAGAATTCTATATTGTACCAAAATATAATATTGAATAAAGCCATTAATAATAATAATGGTTATGAGTCTTCGATGTAATTTCTCAAATGCAGGAGTCTCGAAGTATAAAGTGACTGAACTGGAGGTTCTTGTATTTTACAACCTCAGGTGATAATTACATCGCTAGGTGTTTGTTAGATTAATCTTTAACAAACACAAAACTATAAATGGAAAGTGAGTATACTATAGTGGATAGAAATACGATGAAAAATATCCTACAAAATATTCAGACAGGAACCAGCCATGTGTACATAGCAAATTATCTAAAGTAACTGGTTTACTATTTAATTTTGAGGAGACGTCCAAAAATCGCAATCATGACTTCCTAACGCCACATCTTCCGTCATGACAAAGCTTCTTTTCTGACCCGCAACTCCACATCTAGCATATCATTCAGCATTAAGGTTGACTTCATTCTTACTGAGGGCATCGGTCCCGGATCACAGTACAACTATCGGAGGATGTTCTCTCGGTTCTGTGTGAGATATTTAAAATTCATGTAGGACCTTAACCAGGAAGTTGTTTCGATGGTTTGGTTACAACATTTACTACACCGATGGTGGAGAAAAGTGCACTACATCGACCTTAGTAAGCTTCGTCATTTAATAAGGAGAAGTAGAAAACAGAATGCTTATGTTATATCTAGATGTAAATAACCCTACGCTCTTATTCTGTCCTTTCTAAATCAACACTAAGAAAGCAGTTGACTCTTATCTGCCTACCTTAGTCGGCTTAAGTCTCTTACTTAATTACTTACGCCTGTTACTCCCAATGGAGCATAGGCCTCTGACCAGCATTCTCCAACCCACTCTGTCCTGGGCCTTCTTTTCTAGTTCCATCCAATTCTTGTTCATTTTTTTCATGTCTATCTCCATTTAGCGGCGTAATGTGTTCTTTGGTCTTCCTCTTTTCCTTTGACCTTCAGGATTCCATGTGAGGGCTTGTCTTGTGACGCAGTTGGGTGCTTTCCTCAATATGTGTCCTATCCACTTCCAGCGCTTCTTCCTGATTTCTTCCTCCGCTGGGATCTGGTTTGTTCTCTCCCACAGTACGTTGTTGCTAATAGTGTCCGGCCAATGGATCTGAAGTATTTTGCGTAGACAATTGTTAATAAACACCTGTATTTTCTGGATGATGGCTTTCGTAGTTCTCCAGGTTTCTGCCCCATACAGTAGAACTGTCTTGACATTTGTATTGAAAATCCTGACCTTGGTGTTGGTTGACAGTTGCTTTGAGTTCCAGATGTTCCTCAGTTGTAAATATGCTGCTCTTGCTTTGCCGATCCGCGCCTTCACATCTGCATCAGATCCACCCTGTTCATCAATGATGCTGCCCAAATACGTAAAGGTTTTTACATCTTCCAAATCTTCTCCGTCAATTGTGATTGGATTGGTGCATTCTGTGTTGTATCGGAGAATCCTGCTTTTCCCTTTGTGTATATTGAGACCTATTGCTGCTGAGGCTGCTGCCACACTGTTTGTCTTCTCCTGCATTTGTTGTTGCGTTTGGGATAGAAGGGCCAGATCGTCTGCGAAGTCTAGATCATCCAACTGCATCCTAGATGTCCACTGTATCTCATGCTTCCCTTCAGATATTGACGTCTTCATGATCCAGTCGATCACCAGGAGAAAGAGAAAGGGTGAGAGTAAGCAACCTTTCCTAACACCGGTCTTCACTTCGAACGACTTTGTCAACTGTCCTACATGCACGATTTTGCAGTCTAATCCATCATATG